TGATATCGGCACTTTTCACTAACAAACGAATCGTGATCCTGGAACATTTCAAAAAGAAATCACACAGACGATGAAGGTGCACGCGAAAAATCAATCAAGCATTAGTCAGATTCTTGCTGACCCGAAAGATGACCTTAACCCTTGCCCCACCCACGCATCCCTGCGACATTATGCAGAGGTACTTCAAGCGAAACAATCAGAACCACGACGAATATTTATAACATACCACGAAAATGATGTGTCACGTAACCATCAGATAACCGATCGAAAAACATAATTGTACGACCGTCGAAACATGTCACCAACAACAAGCCTGTTTAAAATCAAAGTTACCAGGAAACGAAAACGCAACTCGATGTTTTGGTATTGCACCGGCTGGAGTGACGATCTATTACATTTTGTATACTTTAACGATCGCAGAGTAATTTGTTGTCATTAGCCGATGTTTCCAAGCGTGAAAGAAGCCTTTGCAAAATATCGTTACGACATCAGAGGGGAGAAGACTAGCCGGCTAATATCCGGGGAATCGTACTTTTCAAGTAGCTTGAAACTCTCGTTCAATTCCACGTGCTAGCATTAACGAGATTAAGGCGAGCAATCGAGGCATTGTTTCATTCGTTCATGTCAACTTCTATGGAACAGTTTGCAAAAGTGTTGCAAGTTTCCGCGCCACGTGCAGGAGCTTGCTTTTCATTTGACAGAAAGATTCAGTAACAAAACTTGATGAGAGAAATGTCTCGAGATGAATATTATATTATATATTAATGATTTAAGAGATGGTTCGCTTACCAAGGAGACGATCTCGCCGATTCCGGAGGTAATGAGCAGCATCCTCCTGCCAAGTTTGTCACAAATTAGCGGCGTGATACCAGATGTGGCCGTCTGAACAACACCGACGATGATGGTTGATATCGAGTCAGGCAACGCACTGTGCGCAGCTTGGAAGATTGATCCCATATAGAAGAGGACAACATTGATGCCGCTGCATTGTTGAAACGAGACGAGCAAGCATGTGAATATCAAAGCTTTGAGATTTGCCTTCACTTTGAATAAATCGCTGATCTTTGCTTCGTTCCTGAACGCTTCGTCAATGGCAGCCTAAAAATGAAACGAACAATTGATTGCAATTGGCTCGTTCCTCTATTTTAAGTCGTCTATACTTCGATACAGGCGCAAAGCGAATACTAAAAAATTCTTGAATCGTCTTTCATTGATAAATCGGAGAAAAACGCGAGAAACGCAAAAACAAAAATAAATAAATAAATATATAATGAATGAAAATGATCAAAGAAGAGATTGAGAAAACGAGTTGTGTAATGTAAGTATTATTGATGCAACGATTTACATACACAGTTCGATCACCGAATTTTAATCGTGGGCGATCGAGAATCAAAAGATCGTACGCGTGACGATCGCTTCGCCGTAGACACGTGACGCGTTAGTCACCCGAGTCAATATAGCATAATATGTAGAGGCACGTTGAAGGAACGCCACTATCATTGGCGGATCAAGAAACGACCTTACCCCCGGCCTCGTTCAACGAACGTGACCCGAACGCCGATACGATATTATGCTACTTTGCAACGCAATCAAGTCTTATCAGTCGCACTCTCGCCTTCGTTCTCCATATTTTTGGTAAAATTCCTGTGTTTACAAGAGGTACGTCTTATCAACCCTTGTTATCCGTCAAAACCCTGTTTGTGTTTATCGTATCGTGCTTTTATACACGATACGACGTAAAAATTATTGATTCGCGTCTTCTTCTTCGTCGCTCGTCTGAGAGAGCACGGTGTATTAATATTTCTACGTTATCAGTACCACGCCATCGATCGTTCATTCGACGATTATTTTTAACCATCCGTTTCCCCTTCGACATCGAGAAACGATCTTGAGACCTCGTCGAACGCTCGATACGCTCTCAATAAATTGCAAGACGGCGGTCGTCAACGTCGAGATCCATGCGACACGTGACTTCGACGAGCTCCTCTGCCAATTGACGGCGACCTCTCTGACGCGACTGGATGAAAATTATTCTGGTCCCGGGAGCATACGAAAATAGCCAGGATCACGGCGGAAATCAGAGTTCAACGAACGACCGGTTGACGAGTATAACTGAGTCTAAGCTATTCGCGGCTGTTTGTCTGTTCTCCGTTATTAAATTCCCATTCGCATACCTGTATTTCGTCAGCTTCCTTCTGCACGCTGGCTGGTGACTTGCTTCGCAGTTTGGCCAAAGCTTGGACCGCCTCTTCTCTCTTGCCGATCTTGAGCAGGTGGTACGGTGACTCGGGCATCATGAAGAAGCAAGCGAAGAACGCCACGGGTGGAATGGCGCAGACAATCGCGAACGCCACATAGGAGACAAACGGGCCGATGGCGTACGCGTACAGGAGACCGATGGTGACGAACAGTTGCAAGAAAGATCCCAGAGCTCCTCTGACGGACGTCTACATGATGATCGTGAACAGAAGATCGAACGTTAATCGAGCGCCGTTGCAACGGAAGGACTCGATTCAAGCGAGTAGAAACGACGTTTACCTCAGCGATCTCACCGCAGTACATGGGCACGACCGTGAAAGCGAACGATAAAGCGAAACCAAGAACTATTCGGGCCACGAACAGCTGATAGACGACGCCGGCTGTTGCGATTAAAACCCAGCCGATCAGAAATGGCACCACGGAGGATAACAGCGTCTTTTTTCTACCCCATCTGTGAGATGAACGAATTAGAGCAAATCAATTGATGGAACGATATCGAGAAAATGCGAATTCGTTACATTTGCACGGTGTCTGAGTTTGACACTGTATCTGGGATCAACTGCGTGATTAAAGATCGTGATTTGCATCTATTGCTAGTATCATCAACTACTGCACACGATTAGGTAAATAGAAAAATAGCAAAATATCACTACCTTTCCGCCAAATAGCCAGCTACGAAGCTGCCAACAATCGCTCCCACGGAGATCAAGGAGCCGATCCAAGAGTTCTCATCGGCGGTGATTTTTGTGCCGAGGGGATTGTCGTCCAAAGAATTCTCCAGGTTTGGTAACACCGGACTCGTCCATCCTAGCAAAGCTCCGGACGCTACACAGCACAGATTTGCTGAAATCACAACATTCGATGCCATTAATTGTCGGATGCAAAAGTGCAAGGAAACGATAATGATACATGTTGGAAGACGATGTAACCGGTTCGGGTCGGCCTGGTTTTACGCGGTGGAAAATAGGCGATCGACAGAAAGTGTACGATAACGAGCGATCTTCTTCGAGTACAAATTTTCCGCGTGCACGGCTAGTATAGTTACGGCTAGTTTACGTTCGCTAGCAAATCGATCGTCGGTCACGTTTCCCCGATCCCCGTCACCCGCATAATCGAAAATGAGCAACGAGCCAATGCGTTCCGCACAGATTCGTACGAGAAAAAGAGAGAGAGAAGAGGACGAAGATAAAGCGATACAAAAGAAAGAGAGAAAGAAGTAGAAACGATTCCCGGTCATTTGTTTCGAGCCGAGCTGCTGTGGAATAATTTGCCCGCGGCGCCAGCGATAACACGATCAAAAAATACATGGACAATGGCTCGCGCGATTGATAAACTCTCCGTCAGTGAATTTTTCCATCTTCGTCCGGAATTTCAAGCTCGTTTCTTCATTGATACGTTACGTAATTAACGCGAGCGATAATCGCCGAGCGAACGACGGCTGTCATGTCAATCATGTCGTTGAAGATCGTACGTCCTCCGTGAAACGAGAAAGAAAATCGCGTTGCGATTTGTCAAGAGAACCGAACGGCCGTCAATCGTCGATGATAACCTAACTATTGACCACCTGTTTTGTCTTTGCTTATCTGTTTATCTTCGACACGATTCGTTCGTCTTTTATATTTCTCTGTTTCTCGGTTTTCCTCCCTCTTTTTTCACCCGTACATTTTTTTCTCTTCATTGACATACACGCGAGTATTGCTTCTTGTTAGACACGGTGTTTAATCACAGGTAGACTAGATTAAGGCAATAGTTGAATTGAATGCAGCGCAGGTGCAATTTACGTCTGATTCTCTGTCATTGTTATAGAGATGATATCATTGAGGATAACATTGATGATCAGGAATATTTAGTTAGGTTGAGTAAGTACACTCGGAGGTGTATGTACAACCTAGTTTAACCTTCAATTAGTGATCCTGTTCTATAATGGATGGCATGCAAGACTTCGACACAAGTTAAGTCGACCTAATGTTAGACTTTTACTTTAATTTCTATACTGGCCATCAGATATAGATGAGAATAAAATTCTAAATCATCGCGATCTCGTGTGATCCAACTATCAGTTAAATCATAACATAGTACGTTTATTAATTTAATTAGACTCTTTGATTTGTCCATTGTAGGATTTGATATTTTTGTTTCTAGTTTTCTCTTTTCCCTTCCCACATCTTCGAAGATTTGTCGAAATTTTCACGTCCAAAATCTCATTCGATCAAATTGAACCATGTCCACTACTATTAATGTAGAATGTTTGACTTGTTACTTAATATTTCCGCTTCACTTTCTCTCATACCTTCGAAAATAACAGAGACTGCCTACTCCTGAGAAATTTCAATGCGCACAGTCTCGTCGACTCCTTGATAGAATTCGTTCTCTGTGACAGGACAAGACACGAAACACTAGCGTGTTATCGCGATCATCGTCGTAATCAGAATGTAACGCGACAGCTTCTGTAATCTCCGCCTCCTCTTCCGTCGAAATGCGATCCAAAGATCAGAAACTCGAGGGCATTTGCGCGTGCGGTGGCTTTGCACGATTGTCAGCTTCAGAGACAACGTTGTTTCAAGGTTCTTGGTCAACCGTCGACACGGAGATGCAAAAACCTCGATTGGAGGATTGAAATTATCGGGACATCGCGGCTGTTTAAACAAGACGAACAGCTCCGATTGTTCGATGAAATATTCAATGGAGATGGAGCAAACGGATGTTGAAGAACTCAAATGGATGAAATTAGGTGGAATTGAAATTGAATGGTTGATTACGTTAAAGTGGATCGATTACGTTAACTTTGTCTTTTCAGCTAGAATTAGACTGGTTGAAGGTAATCGGCGAGTGAGAATTACGTAAAACAGCTTATCAGTTAAAACCGCTTCTTGTCTGAAGCTACTGTGAAATCTCGATCAAGTGGTCGATCAATGTTGAAAGAAATTGTTGAGACCGATATCCGAGCAAAAAGGTATTGAAACACTGTTCTAGATAGTCACGTTATCGCAAATGGAACAGGCGTTGGATGTCAGCTGGTTGTTAAATCAAGTAAAACAATTCCTCGAACGGAACGTTTAGAAAATTCAAGAAAATCCCAGCTTCAGATAGATCCAGTTCCGACGGCTCGCGTTTATTATTTTCGAATTTACGTAACGAAAGGGATTGATAGGAGTGGCGAATGAGCTACTCATGGTCTCTTCGAAGCAGATGATAGACTCGGCAGATTTTCATTCCGATCGTTCGCAAACTTTTGAACAACATCGAAGTCTCGAGTCACGCTCGAAAAGTGGGGAACAAACGGATCTGTACATGTGTGATTGTCAAACAACACGTTACGTTGCATTCGAGAGCAGTGGAACGCGATTTATGTAATCGCCGCGTCGCGGAATCGTTCTTATATCATCCAATCGCGTGCGGCGCTGCAATGGAAAATAAAAATAATATTCTCGCGGCAAATCGCTGGTCTCGCACGCTTCACCAACAAACATTCCATTCTCGCGGGCTTCCGTTTCGCGTTCGCCATTCTGCGGAGAAAATTTAAAAAATTAAAGTTTGCCTTCTGTTTCTTTTTTTTTTTTTTTTTTT